CATATTTTCCCGCATTCTCCACGATAGCGATCACTCTGTGGTTTCGTTCTGTCTTTAGCTCTCGTTTCCACCTCTACAAATGCCACCGTTCCTCTGTCCGCTTCCTGGTGAGCATCGCCCCTCCCATTGATCGGTAGGGATTCCCATCTACCATCAGTTTTGGAATACCACTTATCTTGACGCTCAGGCTTGAACAGGGAGATGGCGGGCTCGGTACTCGAGTAGACCAGAGGGATGTGAGTCATACGTCCCTGACGCTCATCCCACGGCTGCTCCTCGTCGTTCAACGGTCTCAGCAACTTGAGAATATATGTCTTCTTTCCTACCACAATTTCTCTACTTTCGTCCGGAGTGCTGCCCTGTTTGAATTCGAAATTGAGCTTGTTTTCTTTTCCTCTTTTCACAGAGTCTGGTAAGCAATCGCGATCGAGACCCTCTTGAGTTACTATACAGTTCTTAGTACTGCGGGTAACCGGTTCGGCCTTCTCATTGTATTCAATCTCATGTAAGAGTAGCCGTTCGGGACGACCTTCCTCTCCCCCCAGTATAACAGCACAGAAGGCTTCACTGCGCGTCTGGGGTTCCTCTAGCTTTTCCGTAGGGGGAGGGAAGATTTCACACCACACAGAATCACGAGGGACTTCGGTAACGCTAGGTCTACCAAGGAAGTAGCTGACGGCACCGAGAAGAGTGAGCATGATTTGCAACTAATAAGTATGCAGATGAACGATCAGCTAGGAAGGGCTCGCACGTGAGCCGGACAGATAGGCGGAAGCTCGAAAAGGCGGTGGAAGAGTGTTTTTCGAGTGGGCGTTGGCGCGCATTCACTGCTAGAACACAACGATTGTGTACTAGCAGTGAATGTCATAGAGTTGGTCAGCAGAAGCAGTTCTATCTCGTAAATACAATGGAGGCGCCAAGCAAGTTGAATGGGTATTGAAATCGAAACTTGTCGTAGATCTCCTGGTGAGCCTCCGCAACTTCGAGCCGACACGTCGCCACGCACGAGTGCTAGGGATTCGGCCTCAGAGCTCGTTAGGCCTCCGCTGGTGTCAGCGGACAATGCCGGCTGATGAACTGTTGGCATGTGCTAATCCAAAGTCATCGGCGAGACTCTCAGCCCACTTAAATTGGATATGGATTTTCTAGGATCAAACGGTGTTGTTCAACACAACATGAGATTTACTGGATTTATGGTACCATTTTCCTTTTGCATCTTTGAGCGTGCGCTGACGGTGAGAATATCTTACCGTTTCAGTTGTAGTGTCCCTCCCTGTAACAATGAAGCTACGAAGATACAAGAGTCTTCTACGTTTGCTATTATTTGCATCAATGGCCGTTACGTCCAGCGTTAACTCTAGTGGTATGGGTATTGAAGCGGGAGGTCTGCAACAGATGTATAGAGGAGGATCTATAGTAGAACTTGGGTTGCGTATGAAAGTAGCACGCAGACGCACAGATGCCAAGGGAAAGAGTTGCCATATTTTACAAGTACTCCCTCCATACACAATTGTTTACAATCGATTCCAGAGAATAATTTCCACTCAGAAAAGATCAGTGTTGGAGGAATACATGTTAGCTTTCCATAGCTGAGCTCAGGAATTTCATTACTTACTTTACACATGCTCAACACATGTAGAGGATGTATATGCGTACGAAAGTAGCACGCAAACGCACCACATATCACATTGTGTTTAGTGACCAGCAGTGTACGGAAAGCAATAAGAATTTCCTAAAGTGTCTTACAGAATTTTCATATAGTCACCAACACGTGTAGTTTATTGTTTGCGTTATAACTTTTAATTCATCGAACTATACCGTAACACTGTCGAATTCTCGTCGTTAATGATTCACAAAAAGTAAATCATTTTCCGAGTAGTTTTGTTTTCCACTATGAACACTATCAGCAGTACTACACAAAAACTCGACATCAACGGAGTGCATTCCTCTAAAGTGAGCAAGGGTGGTATCCAAGTTGCTTCGTGGAAGATTCAGATGAGTCCAACAACTACCTTGCGTTGT